ATGTGAGTGGAACAAGACGGCGTTTGTCAACGCCAGAAAAACGGATGTTTCAGTAATCGAGATGCAAGATGATAAGCATTTTAGCTGTGGGGATGGAGAGGAAACACTATGTCTTAGAGAGGTTATGCAGAAAGAATCTGCAAGGTTTAGATATAGCCTGGGTATGAAGACTGAGAGAAAGGTCTGAGCTGAAGATGATGCCTAGGTTATGGGCCTGAGTGACAAGCAGGATAATGATATTGTCCACAGTGGCTGAGAAGGAAGGTGTGAGGCAAGGGCTTGAGGGGAGAGGGAGAGCTCTGTTTTAGCTATATTGAGCTTGTGCTGATGACTAGACATCCATGAAGAGTAGTTGAGAAGTTTGCCTTTTGAGCTGTGCAGCTTTTGTTTATTTTGGTTGTTTCATCTCCTCAACTCAAATCAATTTCAGTTTATTTACTGGATTTTCAGCATGCCTGCTCAGGTTTAAGGACTCTCTATTTATCGCGTAAACACTGTGTTTCAGGGTCCTTAAACCTGAGTAGGTGGGCTGAAAATGGAGCAAATAGGATGAAGAAGCATGACACAGAGATTGCTTGGCAAAGGGTTCTCTGACCTTTGCAAACAACTCTCACCTCAGACCTAACAAACTCATTAAACAAAATAGGTCTTGCAGGATACTTATCCATAAAAAGTAATGTGTAAGGTACCTACAGAAAGCTGATAACTTGTCAACATTCATAACCACTGTGAGATGTATGTGCAGGTAATATTTAAGGAATAATATATTTATATTGAACGTGTGCTTTAGGCATCAGGATGTCTCAGTAATGGCCTGTTTGGGCAAGGGGGAGTTGTCACACTGTCCTGTCTGGCCGGTGATGCAATGCCAGGCTCAATTGTTTAGTCTTGTGAAATACTATGATTTTGAATGGGAAACCATCAGCAGGAACAACAAACAATTGAAACCACTTCAAGGTAAAAAAGAAACTTTACAACAAGACAGGGATTCACCCTATCTATGAATAGAAAAAAAAAAAAAAAAGACTGATTTCAGTGTAACAGAGTGAAGGGAAGGACACTGAGAAAACCCCTTGAGGAGCGGTGGGGCAGGAGGCACATTTATGAATGCTTGGATCCTGGTTTGTCCAAAACCAAGCAGTTCTTCAAAAGATTGACCTTTTGGGGGAAAATCTACTTTATTGCATAGGAAAGGTAACTATTAATAAGTCTGTCACTCAGGTTCGCATTTTATGTTGTTGTTTTTTGCATTGTAACCACTTGTTTCTGTTAGGATATAAAGAAAAGGAGGACTTGTGGCACCTTAGAGACTAACCAATTTATTTGAGCATAAGCTTTCGTGAGCTACAGCTCTCTTCATCGGATGCATACTGTGGAAAATACAGTGAGGAGATTTATTTTTTTATTTATTTATTTATTTTGAAAGCTTATGCTCAAATAAATTTGTTAGTTTCTAAGGTGCCACAAGTACTCCTTTTCTTTTTAAATAATCATGTTACAATATGTTAGGATTGGTTAGTTAAATTTCAGTAAAATGATAGGTTAAGGTATAGCTAAGCAGAACTCAAGTTTTACTATATAGTCTGCAGTCAATCAGGAAGTAAGGGGGGGAAATGGGAACAGGGAATGGGAGTGGGGAATTGGAATCATGTTTTGCTAAGGGGGGAAATGGGGGTGGAGGAATTGGAATCATGTTTTGCTAAGGGGGGGAATGGGAACAGGGAATGGGGGTGGGGAAATTGGAATCATGTTTTGCTAAGGGGGGGAATGGGAACAGGGAATGGGGGTGGGGAAATTGGAATCATGTTTTGCTAAGGGGGCGGAATGGGAACAGGGACACAGGTAAGGCTCTGTGGTGTCAGAGCTGGGAAGGGGGATACTAAGGAAGGAAACTGGAATCATGCTTGCTGAAAGTTCACCCCAATAAACATTGAATTGTTTGCACCTTTGGACTTCGGGTATTGTTGCTCTCTGTTCATGCAAGAAGGACCAGGTAAGTAAGTGGGTAAAGGAATAACCCCCCAACAGTTTCCATCACTCTTTCTTGTTTCTAGTTAAATCTTTATTCTTTCTTAGATAAACCTACTTTAGTTTGATCTTCAGGGCTCACAAGTGCTGTGTGGTTTACAGGAGTGGTGGTTTGAGATAAAAATTGTAAATTGATTTATACAGCACCTTTGGGTGCAGAGGATCTGGAAGTTCTGCGAGTAGCCAGTGTCAGGGACTGGATATCACAAGGAAACAATTCAATGGGGGTTTGGGGATTGAGGTGCACTGAGTATTAACCTGCAAGGTGAAGGAAGGGTTGGCATAAGCCCAGAGGAAAGTGCTTGAGTGGCTGAAGGACTGGCAGTGTCACGGAGCTGACATCCCACTACCACAAGAAAAACTCCCTCTAGCTGAGGGCAAAGGGGGTAACAAGTTGACTCACGGTCCGGGATACCCTGAGAACTGTCACAAGAAGGTTGAGGATAAGGGGCCCAGTGTAACTTTATTGAAGTCAGTTAGGTTACTGGGGTGATTTTAGTTCAAGGGGTTGAAACTTCAGGAAGAAACAAGAATGATGAAGAAATGAAAGCAAGAGAACCTTTCAATAACCTCTTAATTAGTCAGTATACAAACAAACTCCTCTTTAGCACATATCAATCCCTAACTGTTTGCTGCAGTAGAGTCGTTCTGACAACATCAGCAATGGTCATTTTATAGTCTTTTCATTTTTAATAAAAATTAAAAATTAAAGTTACATTTGGTTTCCATATGTAGATAATCCTATTCAAATGAGGATGGTTATGGAATGTGGTTTTGGGCAGATGAATCCTGCAGCTTAGGAATGTTACAATGTGCAGTAACAGCAGAGAAGCTTAGTTTTTGTGCTCACATGCTAAGAGGCAAATCCAACCTTAGATTCCAAGCTGCAGAAGGTCCCCTGGCAGTAGCATTGGTGTCAAGATTTCAGTGGGCACTGCAGGTAGGGTGAGCAGACAGCAAGTGTGAAAAATCAGGATGGGGGTGGGGGTAATAGGAGCCTATATAAGAAAAAGACCCAAAATCGGCACTGTCCACATAAAATTGGGACATCTGGTCACCCTAACTGTAGGTGATGTTCACATTGCTCAGCTTCACAGTGGCTCCCAGCATGCCAATGTGTAAGAGAGGGAGGGGACAGTGTACGGGTGGGTCCAAGATTCTAGTGCTGTGTGGGTGTTTGGGTGGCAGTGGCTTCTATGGAATAGCTCTGCAGACCGGAAAGAGGAAAATTACTCCAGACTGCATCTGTCCAGCTCCTGAACTCATTACTCTGGCAGAGCACTGAATTTGCCCTTAAGTGTTTTCTTCCCCAAGCCCCCCTTCTTTGGAGGAAGATGAAGTTACATCTAACATCATGACCTGTGGGAGGGAAGCAAGAGATCTTGGGGAAAATTGCTTATAGTGGCTTTTTCCCCTTTTAAATTCAAAATGAAATAATTTGTGAGCAGCACAAGGGGCCTGTTCTTCCTCTGATGTGCTGCATAAATTCCTCCTTAAAATACATGTTACTATGAAGCTTTTCAACACTAATTCTCCAGGGGAATGTGAAATTAAGTGGGGCGGGAGGGAAGGAAGAGGGAGAGAGAAGCTGTCTTTACGATTTTGAGACCGCACCTTCCAATCCCTCATTATCCAGAGTACTTTGTGTCTCAACTCTATTGTCTTATAAGTCTGTGTAGCTCCTTATGGAAGGGACCATGTCTTCCTCTATATTTCTAAACCAATCATACTGTCTACACTCCTCTCCTTAAAAATTAAATAAGAGTGAGACTAAAAACTTCAACTGTTCTCTTTAATTTTCCTGAATAAAAATCTTATGTAAGTGGGTGAATTAGACTGACATCCACCACCCAGTGCATACTGAAAATGTAAAAAAGTGTTTATGATTTATATTATTTGCTACTTAATTTGTAACAAAGCAACAGGGACCAAGGCTATAGAATTATGTAATATGCATTTCATCCTCAGAAAAGCCTACTCTATAAATGGTAGCTAAGTAAAAGCTCTGCCAATACAGTTATAAGAAATCCATCATAATCAATCTTTTAAAAATTGTTTGTCCAGTCTGAGAATTAAAAGATGTATTTAATAAATTATTTGGGAAAGGACTGTCTTTAACCATGCACTGTAGAGTTTTAATCCAAATAATGATATGCAATTCTGTAATTCTTAAACAGTTCCAAAAGAAGTGTGTATACAATGTTCAAGAGCTAGAAACACGATAAAATAAAGGTGTTTTTACTGAGGTTTTGGCATGCCATCTGGTCTAATTTGTCTTGTGCTTTATTTAGTACAATATCAGCTTTCTAGAGAATGTAAATTACTAGATGACCACTTTAAAAAGAGAACCCACAAAAGAGGAGTTAAATATATATGGAAAAATCACACGCTTTTAAGTTTGCCTACTTAACAAAATATCCAATATCAAAATATATTGAAGCCTAGATGAGTCCAGAAGTGCATTAATTTACTCCATGAATGCAAACTAGAAATTATTGTGATAAAAGTGATAAAGAAATATAGTGATGGCAAAATATTGAAATAACTTTGCAGATATTGTATGTTGTGATTTTATAATAGGCATAATGACATAACATGTCATTAATAACAAAACCGTACAATGGATTTTAATTAAATCCAAGCGAAAAAAGACCCTTGTGGACATCCTCTGCCCCAAATTAAGTTTTTTGACAATCTTGATTAATGGTAACACACACACTTCATGGTTTGTAAACCTGAAACATACTTATACATTACAGTCCCATTGTCTGCTTGCAGGTGAATGTCTGGTTAGTCAGCAACAGTGAAATCCCGTGCACAAGAGGTTGTTTTTACATGTTTTACATGTTTTCTAGAAAGGTGATATCAAAAAAAGTAAACAGGTACCAAAGTAGGAATTCTAGTATCTAAACTTTCTCTTTCCTTAGGGTAAATTTAATGAAATAATGACAGAACAATTAAAGAGTTCCTACCCGCAAAATTTCTTCAATACAGCTGTTATCTCCTGTTCCACTCTCCTGTAAACAAAGAGGAAAATACTTTTTAAGTAAGAAATAACAAATGGCCGGTTTGAGGATATGTGGCTACATGAGATGTACTCAAGACTTGGGTACATTTTCAAGTCAATGTCAAGTGTTTCTAGCATCAGAATACTGGTGATGTGTTAAACTCAGAAATTATTTCCTACTTTTTCTACAAGAAAATAATTTTTTTTAAAATGTTTATTCTTTAAATGAGTGACCACAATATATTTTTATTTAATCTATAAGATTCTGGTTACATTTACTTTAGGTGTGGTTCATCTCACACATATCATGTGGTTATTATATGTATAGGTAAAATAGTCACTGTATATACACAGACCTAATATATTTACTATAAATTTATTTACAATAAATTAACAAAAACAGACTGGCTCCTTCTTGTAGGTAAAACTCCCATTGGTTGCCCAGGGTAGTTTTGTTTCCATAAGGATTAGGCCCATTATTGACTACAGAAACTTTAATGGAATCAAGCGTTTAAACTCTTGGAGCTGTGTTCAATAGGTAAATCAGAGGTCTAACAGGGCCATTCAGGGTATGTCTACACTGCAATGTTAGCCTAGGGTAGTTCAACTTGAGTTAGCAGACCCTGGGTTTGTAACCTAGGGCATGAGCATCTACCCTCATTTGAAACCCCTGGTTAGGAACTGTTAAACCGTGGGTCCCAATCTGGGATTCTAGTGTCTACGCTGCATTATGCAGACCCGAGTGCAACCATCCATATCCCAGACTGCCTAGCGCCCTCCCAAAAAGTGGTTATTCTAGCCCTTTGTTCATGGTACAGGGTGAGAAAACTTAACTGTCCACCAAACATGACTGTCCAGAGGACAAAGAAAGTCAGACCATTGTGGGATACTTTTGGTGGACTCCCAGAGTATGAGTTCAGTGGGGCTGAGTCTACACTGCAAAGCAATAGGGCTTGAACCATGGGTCCTGGCTTGACTCAGACCGGAATCCTCCACCCTTGTGGGGTCCTGGGACCCTTGGTCTGAGCCCTGGATTAGCACAATTTGTGTGTAGATGGAAAGGGGGTTTGGCTTGAACCTGAGTTTGAACCATGGGCTTATACTGCAGCATAGACTTAACCACAGTGAACACTGTACACACAATTGTGAGGAGTTACCTATACAGGCAGTGGCGGATTAGTCACTGGGTCAATGGGGCCCCTACCCAGGGGCTCTGGCCGATTTGGGGGGCCTGGAAAAATGGGAACGCCCCAACCCACTCCTGCCAGGGAGCAGGGTCGAGGCACAGGGGCTTGCCCCACTCCGCCTGCCAGCAGAGAGTCAGGGCATGGGGGCTTGTCCTGCTCTGCCCACCCGGCGCTCCTGCTGGGGAGTGGAGGAAGCCCCAGTGCCTGACCCTGCTCCCCAGCAGGAGCGCCGGGTGGGGGGAGGAGGGGTGAGACTGCAGGCAGAAGGGTTGGGGAGGGGCCTCCCACTTGCTCTGGCCCAAGGTCCCACAAACCCCTAATCTGCCTCTGTATACAGGTCCTTAAGTCCATCCCCATTCAGCAAAACATTCAAGTACATGTTTAACTTTAAGCATGTGCCTCAGATTCATTGAAACCAGCAGAGAATGAGGGGCAGTGGAATCTTGCTCTGCTATCCCCATCTCCTCCCTTGACCTGACCCCCTGCCTCCCATCTCTGCCCCAACATACCCTCTTCCTTTCTTACGCTGTGCAGTGCAGCTCTGCTAAAGCAGGCAGCAAGGACGAGTGGGGAAGCAGGTGCAGAAGGCGGTCTAGCTGCTTCTGCCAGCTTTACATAACTTAGAAATTCCTGCTAAACAGGGGGAACTCTCCAGGGGGAGTCTCCAAACGTTTAAATTCACTTTACACTGCAGAATCCACCAAGTGAAATGATTTTTGCTTATGCAGAACACAATGAACTTAGCAGATGGGAGAATGTGGCCCTGACTCTTTTGTTTAACAGTGGGAGAAAAAATAAATTTGTACTTATTGTTATTATTAATAATTAACTTTTGAAGTGAGCTAGGAATTTTGGCTCAAATCTTTGAAGGTGATTAGTGATTCCAGATACCTAAATGTTCAGGTGTCCAATCTGAGGAACATGCCTGATCTTCCGAAGTGCTGAGCACCTGCCCTCTGAAAATCAGATACCTCTAAAGTGTCTCAATTTAGGCACCTACAATCACTAACCACTTCTGAAAATTTATGCTTTTCATACTTACATGGTATTGTTAGCCAAATACTGTTTGCCCTACTCCTGTATGTTAATACCATGGTTCTCCCGGAAGATCATGCTAAGTGCAGATAAGTACAATAACCATGATAGTGTGCTTCCTGGCAGAGTTGGAGGGAGGATTTAAATTCATATGCTCTGGAAGTCTCAGGGGGGTAGCAAAGTCAGAATTAAGGCAATAATTTATGTTTCATAATTTTTTGTGGCTGTTATTTCATGCCAGGTTATGGGAACTCATGAGTCTTTTATTGTCAGCATTCCTGAAAATTTTTGCTGAATATGGCCCTTGGTTATTAAACAAATGAATTGTCTTTAACTCTTTTGCTGTAGTACAGTCTGCCATCTTAAAAGTCAATAAGAGTTATGCCATTGACTTCAGTAAAAGAAGAACTGGGTGCAACATAAAGCGCCTTTCAAGAATTATTCATATTTGACAAATCACTGGTTAAAAGGAACTACAGTCAATTGCAAATAGCCCCATTCTGAACTCATCATTGCAACAGATGAATCAAAGAATGCAATATGCTGCTTTTGCTGTTAGTGGAGTAACAATACAACAGATGCTGCTAATAAAGTTAATACTAACAAGAAAAAAACACACATGAAGAAAAATCACAAAATTCTGTGGACTTTCTATTTTCCTCTCACTAACTGATTTATTTTTCTCCTCTCCATGGATCCCACCTTCCCCAAAAAGCCTGTTCTATGCTTAGTCATCACACCAACATCATTAACAGTTGAGCACACAAAGCCCTCCTGGCACAGCACATGCCTTGTATGTATGAAAAATTTTACATGGTGGTAAATTCCGCCTGCAATTTGCATCAAGATGCGATCTGTTGGAGGGCTTGCACGGAAAGAGGAACACATTTGCAAATATGGTGGTTGTATCCAGGATTTAGATGGTTTGGGGGAGGAAATTATTAAAGGGATTAATCTTATAACAAAATACCAGCTTTCTAGAGATCCCCTGACCTACTTACTTAATGCTCCCGTAGAGGATCTACATTTTAAAAAGAAAGACAAATCAATTAATTTTTATTGTTAGTATTTAGCCTTTGTATTACATACTAGTTAAAAAATGTAACCCCTCTGACTATAGAATTGTGGCATGGTAAAATATGAACTGTCTTGTAATGGAAAAACTTTCACACCAAGAATGTACACAAGAGAAGCGCCAAAAAGAGGATTGGTACTTAGAAATTTGGTCATCCTTTTTTAGTGTACACAGACGAGGAGGGCTCCCCAGCAAGCAGGCCAGAATCTTTAGACAGGTTCTTTGAATATTAATCTGATCCTGAATAAGTAATATACAATGTAGTATGTTAATGTTTTATTGTAAATTTGCCTTACTGAAAGTTTTTTTTAAATCATCTATTACTTACACGCTGTAAATACTATACACTTTCACCTATTTACATGGCTAGATCTGCCCATTTTAAATTGCATTCTGCTTCTACTATTCTTTCAGTGTATACTACATGACCCTGTGCCTGAATAAATCCATATAAAAAGTGCCCATAATTTGAACGATGTAATTCTTTCTCCCTCTTGATAATGTACATACAGCAAAAGATTTGTGCAATGTACATTTTAATTACTCTGTTTTGGGGGAAAACTTAAAACTAAAAGAAACTATTACTGAAGGAAGTGAGGTTTCTGGGTGTTGTTTCATGCTGAATTGCTGAGCTGTTACTAACTTATTATTTATACCAGCTTTGATGAACTCATTTGCCTATCATTGCTTTTTGAAATCTATCACAACAGACTCATCTCCCTGAACCTCCAATGAACTCTCAGTGAAATTCTGGCAACTCTAGTTCACGTATCAAAGGCAGTGGGCATGATTCTTTTAGTTCTTTGATGCTTTTCCCATTATCTTCATTTCTCAGTCAGGGCAGCCCCCCAAAACACCAAACATTTGTACGCACACGCACACACAGAATCTGGCAGGAAGATGTGAGGATCTGCAGTCAAGGATAACAGCAGTTATTACTGAAGAAATAGCCAGGGGCATCACATCATTGATAACACAAGGAGCTAATTACCATGCAAAGCACAGAGTGCTGTAAGAAACGAGGCTGAATAAAGACTACACTGAATTCTTGGGATATGGGATGTAATTGCAAGAAAGCTACATCTGTACATATTTTATTTTATACTTTTCTTTTTTTTTTTCTTACCAACAGCTTTCAGAGAGTGATCTATAAAGGAACTTGTATTAAAAGAATTCCCAGTTTATGAGCCTTTTCCTTTCCTCTCAAATCTTTACACTGAAAAAAGGGAGAACAATCTACCATGGCAATCTAGTTTAAATGTAGGCCACATCTACACTTGGAGCTGGGGGTATGATTCCCAGCTGCGCAGACATGCTCATGCTAGCTCTCATCAAGCCAGCATGCCAAAAACAGCAATGTAGCCAGCGCAGCACGGGCAGCGGTGAGTGGCCGCATGGGCTAGTCACCCCAAGTATGTACCCACAGGGGGCAGAAGAAGTAGGTGGAGTACTAGTAAGATGAGAGCTAGTGCAAGTGTGTCTATATGAGCTGGGAATCACACCCCTAACTCCAACTGTAGCGTAGATGTAGCCTTAGTGTAAGAGATTGTTATGGCAAAAGTTTTTTATATCATTATTTGTGTTGCATTAAGTACTTCCACTAACTCTTTGCATTTTGCACTTTTTGCACTTTTTCTTCAGTGTAAGTTAAAAGTTATTGAAATATTTTAAATGTTGAGATATACCCACTGTACCTCCCGGGCCTCTGCCCAC